CTCTGGGATCAAACTGAAATTTTAATTTTACATAAAGCCCCCAGATATTTTCAAAATTAAAAATTGCTCCAAATTTATTACATTTTGTAATTTAATAGTGCTAAGGACGTTTAAGAGAGATGTGCAAGTCGTTTCAGATAAAATTCCCACTTTTTCGAAAATTGCAACAAAAAAAATGAAAACTAAAGATAGAGATGTGTCTCAAGACCAAGTATATTGCACAAAATTCTCTTTAAAAGAGGTCCTGTACCATTTTTTTTAAATTGTAGTTATTGCGTTATCTCCACGTAATTTACGCAATTTTTCTCAATAACCGCCCCGAATTTCTTTTGATTTTCTTCACATATGTAATAAGGGTCGGTAAAAAAAATGATACTAGTCTTTTCGGATATCGCTTGCTTTTTTCGAAATTTGGAACAAAAGTCAAAACTACAAAAATGAATATAGACCTCAGAGACAGTCTGCTGAACAAAATTGGCTCTTTAAAAAAAGGCCTGTACCATTTTCTGTAACAGTAGTTTTCATGTAATTTCTGTTTGAAACTAATGAGGCATACATGGGCGTCTCGTTGTAAATACCGATAGCATTGTAATATTGCAAGAGAGTATGTGCTGCTGGAGCACCACTAGTTTATCTACATGGTACGTATGTAGTAAATGTGCACGGTAAATTATTGTATTACTTCACCGTTAAATCACAAAATACAACAATTTGACTATAATTAAAGGAGTAAATTTACTGCATGCCGACAGATTTTTATTTACGCGTAAAGGACCATGACTTTCCTCCGCCATCAGCTTTTTTCTCCACTTCACCTTCATCCGTTGAGAAAATGCACAGATACCGCATGGCTGGACATTAATGTAGCTTTCATTTGCGCACGTTTTGCTTTTGGTAGATGTAGAGTCATCCTTGCGGGTTACTATTTTATGAGTCTTACTGTTAAATAAATTTTCTATTTCAGGAGAACGAAAATTTAAGAGTTTTTAATTGTCGCCGAGCTCCTTATTGTACTTTTCTTCATATATCAACTAAATATAGTGAATTCTGGAGCAAACGTGCGCACATTATACTTCTCCCATACGTTGCATACTCCACGAAAGCAAGATCTATCTCGTGACCGCAGGCTGCTGGCATCCGCGTAAGACCAACTCTACTTCCTCCTCGAAAAGACCGTCTCAGCAGTAAAGGCCTATCCAACAGCTTCTCCGCTTAGCGGGAGACTAATGCTACTCATGACCTCGTTGCCCGCGCACAGACCTGCAACTCTTCCGTCGGTTCGGACCAAACCGGCCTTGCCGTCACCACATCACCTTCATTCACACTGACCCTTCAGGGTCGAGCGTCCCGCCTTCGCCCGTGCACTTCGACTGTCGCCAACCCGTTCGGTGGCCGCTTCAAAGTCTTTCTTTCGTTATTTAAGGCCGCATCAACATCTACGTCATTACCGACCACTATTGCATTTAGCTCTATGGTAACTGAAGATGACATGATATGGTGATGATAGGGGGTGAAAGGACGAACACAAATGCAACCATGCCCCAGACGGGACTCGTACCCGCGATCATTCGTTTTCCTTCGGAAGGTCTCTCAGGATCTTTTACGCAAATCGCTCCGAGCCTCCGTCAGAGAAGTTGCCCTTTAGTGGAGGTCCGTGGCATAGTGGAGACCAGTCGAACTTTACCCTCGCTGCTACAAAGACTAGCAATGCTTTATATACTAAGAGCGCATCTTCATTTAATGCCGTGTTTTCTGTAGTGCTTCAGTCATTCCACTACTTCAATTGCTAATACTTAAACAGTAAAGTCGCCCACCTCAGCAGGGCTTTGTCTCTGTCAAGTCGTAGCAAAATCTACGGCGCTCTCTGCAACCCAGAAACCGCCGTGGAGGTAAATTCCGTCTATCAGGATGAAAGCCAGACCCTCGGCAACAAGAGCTTGAGCCTTCAACCCACAAAGACCATTTCAAACTGCAGTTTCAAGACTGCAGCATACCGGAAGACACTAAAGTTTCATACATTGACTTTGCCACAGGGGGCCCTCAACAGGTTAACAGCTAACGTCTCTGACTAACGTCTAATGACTCAGAGAATGCAGCTCGCATTGGAGGCGAAATAGCGTCCGTAAACAAACTTCGGTAAGAGATGCCATGCAGACAGTAAAAAAAATCGTTAAAAGCTCATTGAAGACCTAGATATTCAATATTCAGAGCCAGTCTCTAACAAATTCTCATCTCTAGAAAATCTTGAGATCCGTGGCAAAAAGTTTCTCGTTCATCAAGTTTAACTTCAGAAAATGTGAAAATCCCAATCTATGTACAATTAATCTTGTATGTACCAGAGTTTAATGAAAAAATAAAAGCAATACGCCTCAGTTCACTTCACAATACGACAAACTAACAAATTACTTTACAATCTTACTGTATTTCACACACTTCAGAGAAGCTATGAAATACTTCCTCACACAAATAAACGAGCTTTCACTCAATGATCCGGAGAACATAGTTCTCTAATATTCAAGAACGTTCACGCATGCATTACCCAAGAGTTCCTCCTCTCAGTATTGAATAAACATTTCCTTAGACTATTAAAACAGTAGGCCATCCATAACCCTGTATTTTGATTCATCAACATTTCTGACTCTCGCCAATTACGAAGGATCAATAGAGTCACCCAGGAAGCTTTTCAACAAAAAATACCACACGACCACGTGACTAACCTAGGCACATCGCCCTCAGCCACAACTTAAAATCAATTTGAATAGTATATCTAATTAACACCCAGTTTTATATCAGACTGAACTTCCGCAGTTTTGATTAACAATCACTCCCCAAACTCTAAAAATATACAAACAGACCTCCACAAGGATATCTGTTATCTCTTACACTAACATTTAAACAGCTGACATCCCAGTAGTATCTAACACCAACATCGGCCAATTCGCTGTCTATACCACGAGTCAAGTTATTCGAGCAAAATAAGGAACAAAAGGCAACGACATCTAGACAAACTATATCAGTGGTCCACAAAATAGAAACGTAGGCACAATGCCTCAACATCAAATGCAAATTCTTTACCCACAGACAAATTTTTACCAAATTCCAAATCAGTAACCTCAATTTATTTCGTGGACTCTACACCATCAAAACATCAAATACTCGAGACTAATTCTTATACGAAGCTGCTTTGGAATGACAATATAAATGCAAAAACTCACCACGCAAAAGTAGAAAACCATTAATTTCAGAAGTAAAATTCTCTGAACAATGCAACAGCTCTTTACAAACAGTATCCAAGCTACTAAGATTTATGCGTGCCCCTATCTGGCTAAATGCTTTAGTAACAAATAAAATATAAATCATTAAAAATAAATAGCTATGAACAATTACAAGGCCATAAATTTCTCTTTTCAAAATTTACAGTTTTAGAAAGTATTAAATATCACATTCATATTTCCCAATATCCTATCTCTACTTCATTATCAAGATCCCCTAAAATTCTACTCGTGCATCAACCAAATCTATGCCAATTTTACCTTGCTCAAACCATTATCAAGATTCCGGAAAATAATTTAAAACATCTCGATTCAAGCATCTTTGAACTTTCAACCCGGGTGGTGAACAATAAAGGCGCTTTATCAGATTCCTTACCCTCTAATACTTACATTTAGAATTAAATTACTTTACAAGGTTAAGAAAATATTACATTTTTAAATTACACGAGGGATGTTTTTTTTCAACCTCCGTTCGTGCCTGCAAACAATAACTCGAGTGGTGGGAGGCTGAGAAGGAGACAGCGCATCCCCCCCTCCCCCCCCCCCAACTATAATTTCTGACGCTAGCTATGTCATACGCCATTTTCTGTTTAGTTGCACACCCACAGACGTGGCTGCTACAATTGATGGTCTCGCCATGTCCATAGACTTACTTAGTGTCATTCCATTTATTTAAGCAGAAGGGAATAGCGCGGCTGAAATTCATGGAAGGACGAGCCGATTATATGGTGATATCTTTACTGTGGATGGTGTTGTGCGTGAATGTTGTAGAAAGTTTCAAGAAGGCCGAGCCTATGTCCACGACGACGGGCGGGGGGGGAGCGGCAAGGGCGCATGTCGCGTCAGAAGACATTGTTCAAGGAATTGACAAAATGGTTCGAGAAAAACCATTTACCGTCAGCGAATCGAGTGTGGAATTTCTTAAACTTTAAAGGTCAACTGTGCACACAGAAAACCTACGCCATTCAAAAAAAGAAAGAGGAATGCTGACTTCTGGAGTTTTCCGATTCATGACAATACCCGCAATCACAGAGCTGCTGTAACCCGACGACTTCTTTAACATTTCGATGGGAAGTTTTTGTACATCCGCGAATATCTGATTTACTACCAAGTGATTCTCATCTCTTTCTTGAACTCAAAAAAGTGGCTAGGATAGCAGTGCTTCCAGAGTACAGAACATTAAAACATCGTCAAGGACCATCTCTACCCCCTGGCGACAACATTCTATGCAGAAGGAATTGGAAAGCTCCTCCATAGATATGACAAATTCATTAATCTTCACAGTGGTTATGTCGAAAAGTTACCTCATTTGTACATAACATTTGGTAATAAATTCATTTTCTTTGCCGTATTTTATGAGCTTTCGGAGGTTGAAAAAAATAATCAGCCCTCTTACATATATTGCTCTATGCACCTTGTTATTCCAAATAAGTAGAAAATGATAATTAAAAAAAGTATATATCACGCCGTGATGTACTCTCACCGCCTCTTCAATGAAGTAGTCCGCATGGCAATACAAGAAACGACCTTTAAGTACCCTTTAACAAACCATGTTTTCAATTGGCGTATTTGATGTCACCTGACAATCTATTAATGGACTACAATTCCAACCATTAATTTTAAACTTCATTCATCACTCGAGTGAATTCATCTACAGTTTACAAATACCACGAGATACAAACTTAAATAACCCGACTGTCGCAACAACAGGTGCGCTGTTAAAGGCTACTAACACAAATCACTGAGCGAAGCATCTGGTAATGTCCCGCAGGTGAAAGACCTGGTCAACTCCACAGTGTCACGGCCTTGCAAAGACTGATTTTCAACGTTCTCGCCTGCGAGAAAATACACGCAAATATAAATGTAGGTGTTAACGTTTTATTTTGAAATGTTGTAGTTGAATTATTGTACCTGTTTTGATTTTGACGAAAAGAAACAGCCGGAAAAGGTCTTTAAAACCGGAAAACGTTACCGGTGAGGGTTCGAATCAAGAAGATAACTAAAGTAAACAACCTATAGGCATGTGAGAGGTAATTTTTAAATGTTTACTTAGTTCATTAATTTCATTTTCATCTTTTAAAAATAATGTGTATTCCTATATTTATGCAAATTTTTAACTAACTTCAAGACATCAAAAACCTTTTTAAAAAAGAACGTGCGATTCACTTCACGAAAAAAAAATTTGAAAATAAGTTTAATATATTTATACTTTATTGTGTATTACATATAATTTCTATCTAAGGTTGTAAAAATCACCTTACTGCGGACGTGTCTGAGTAAAAGCTATTAGCTACGTTAAACGAAAACTCAGCTGTAGCTGGTAGAGTTGTCCATGTTCAATGCACCAAGTCTTCTATCCCATACGGGCGAAGCTTTTGATCATGCCCACCTCGTCAAAAATCCAGTTTATTAAAATGTTACTTATATGTGCGTAAGCAACAGCCCTCATGAACAGGCGTGCCTAACGCGGTCCGGCGATCATAAGTGTAGGTTGAGAGCTGCTTCGTCGCAAATTCTAATATCCCAAGATAATCGCTTGTCATGCATGCGCAAAATATTCTCCAAAATCTTGTCACACATCTTTAAACATACCTTCAAAGAGTTACTGCAGACACAAAAACCTAACTAAAACCCTTTACATACAAATTACAAATTAGCTTCAGATTTAATTATAGCATAATATATAGCGACATTGTAATAATTGTGTATTGTGAACTTCATTAGAATAGCCGCTATGTTAACGTGTATAACGACACTCATGTGTATTGTGTAATTCGTGAACGAAAGTTATAATCGTTAATAGCACTCGGAAGGGGTGTTGCTGCCGTCGAGCATTACCATATAAACAAATAGCTAAATGTTGCCGCAAAGTATCCTAGACGATTTTGATAATTATTGAACAAAAGTTATTAATTACAGGAATCCTATTTGTCTTTTATATAATTGTGAACCAACATTTATGTTATTACACTATCATGTTAATATTGTTAATATTCATATTATTAACTTTATTATAATAGACAAAAAACAAATATAAACAATCGAATAATTTAGGAAGTAAATTTTATTAAGGTTTCAGAAAAAATAAAGTTAAAATTGTTCAGAACATTCATGCACACCAAGTTTGACTCCTAAAACAAATTCTCCATCACAAAAACTTATGAAGAAAGAATAAATATGAAGAATGACAGACCGACTTGTCAAGAAATATTAACTATAATAAATTTATGTTTGTTATGCATCATTTGTGCACATTCAACAGAAAGACTTTACAAAAATCTGTATCTACGCACTACATTTTATTAATTGTGTAAAACGTTACAATAAATACCATTTATTTCATGTAATTTCCATTCACTTCTGAGAAATCATTTGTTATGTCGCACACTATGAGCAATTGCTACTTTTGCTATTGAAATGGAAGGGAATGAATTCCAATATTCATGAACGTAATTCCTGAACAAATGTTCAGTCCCTCAAATGGGATGAACTTGCTAAATAATTTCACGTCGAGGAGAAGACTTTCCTCCCGAAGGTTATCTCTATTCCCACCCAAGGCGCTCAATCCCGCACGACCTTCTTCCATTTCGGTTTTCGTCAACCATTCACAAGAATAATTTTCCCACTTAAATATGAATTGCGAACATCAGTATTAAAATAATATTTTTGCGTACATCTAACTTCTGAAGTTGATTCATATATAATAAAGTCTCTAAATCCTGAACCCCTCGAATATTAATCTATGCGCAAGAAAAATGCACGTGAACAATAAATCTTTGTGCTTCGCTACCTCAGAAAATAATATGAAGAGTCGGATGACAAATTTAACAGATTCATTAATGGGAATTCCCATGTTAAAGTCTCATTTCTATTTTCAATAACAGCAATAAGCGTACACGAGTATTCTCATAAACTCCTTTATAGGAGTTCAATAACGTTATTTCCGATTCAAGGGAAATTTTAAAACAAAAATGAACTTTTACAAAATAAATACTTTCAGAAAAAATATCTGAAAATTCAAATGTCAACATTTATACACAAATTCAATTTGGTTGCAACAATTACAACCTTTCCTTCATTTCAACAAAATATAACGTATTCTACCATCAGTATTAAACCGTGATCAAGGTGCACAGAAAACTACCAATCCATATTTCCATAAATTCAATAAGAAAACTTACGATAAAAGCATGAGCCACCACCCTCTGCGTCGCCGTATAGTACAGCACATGCATCACCCCTCTTCAGAGGCAGCGCTCTTCCAAAACAGTCACGATCTAAAAGTCAGAAATATTTTTTTATTGAATGTTTTAAAGATTATGCATCTTTCCGATGTGCTATAAACTATTCAACATCCCCAAATGTTGTAACATGAGCCACAGCACGTTCCCACGAGCCACGTATCCATGTGTCCATGCATTTTCTCAACAATTTACTATTTTTGATACTACCGCATTCTTAATACAAATCAGTGATAGTAAATATTTTCCAGTATTTACTTTCTGAAAGTAATGTTTATTTTGTTTTAAGAATAGAATTGTCGTGCGCCAAATGCAAATAACTATAAAAACGTACAGTGAAATATAAATATCTTATTCATATACAATATAAATCACACAAACATTTACAACACTACAAACTTATTGCAAATAACTTACAATTGCTCACCTAATCCGCCGCAATAAGATTCAAAACTGCATCGCTCCATATGAGATAACCACAAGCAACCTCTACTCAACAGCTTTGCTTCACAACTGCAAATGAACAGACCCGCAGCGTCACACATCTTAAATACTTTCCTCAAACAGTCGCATTCATTTCATTCGCTTTTCAGTCGTCACGTGAACTTCAAGTCGTCACGGGTTCATCACAGTTTCAGACGTTGCAAGCAGACTTCCAGAAGATTCTGAGGGAAAGATTCGTGACGTGACCACAGCTCATTCGGAAACCGCGAACATTTAATTCACTTACACTAAAAAGTCACGTTCACTTTTGATTGATATTATTACTTTTAAAACCAATTTTAATGTACAATAATAAAAATGTGCATAAACAATTTAAAGAGTACTTAGAATCAATCATAACTGTCTAAATATATAAGTAGGACCAGCATTTTAATTCGGATTACATATTTAATTTTCATTGCACGTTTGCTGCAATTACTACTAGTGAATGTGGTTCAAGAAAACAAAATAAGATTAATACGCATGTATTATAGTAATTAACGAAACGAGTGGGTAAAGAGGAGTATAATTGCATGAGTGGTAAGTTCGAGAAAACGAACGACGACAGGAGCGAGTTTTCTTATTTACCACGAGTGAAATGATACAATTTTATACACATGTTACATTCAGTTTTTTCGTTTCCATTTAAGAGTGATTGAATCGTTTATTTCTGAAACCCGTCAAACGTCAAATTCCTCATTTCGAGAAAACTGACAAAAATGCTCCTATTTTTTATTTCAAAATATTTTTATTTATTAAAGCAGTTGATAAATGAATATTTTTATATAAATATTCACTATACGATGTGTCTATCCTTTTGGAAAATGAATCCGTCGCTAATGCGTATTTTAAATTTTGGCGTTAGACGGGTTTTCTGAAGTAAACGATTCAATTTAAATTTTGAAAAATTCACTTCTTTAATAATCGAGACACATATTTGATGACGTATTGCTTCTGAAAAGGCCTATTTTAGTGGGCCATGCAATGTGTACGTAAGATCACTATAGTGACTTTTACAGGATAAAGAAACGTGTCAAACGGAAGGCAATTTAATTTATTTCGGATGAATTATTAGAATCAGACAAAGCCATTCAAACATTACTCCCAGAAAAAGTAAAGACAGATATGAAAGAGAATACAACGTGTGTTAACATTGGAAAGTCACTTCTGTCACAGTTTTCTGGCGTACTTTTTAGACGAGGTAAATACAACTGACGTTAAAATTTTTTACATTTGTTATGCTAAGACCAAATAGGTTTCGAATAAAGCGTTTAACATGGACGTCTAAAAATACCTTAGCCACGTCTGTGTTATGGTGTCTTCATCGAATGATTTTCATTCTATTTTGAATTCTGATTGGTAGTCGTGAAGTTGCAATTGCACGGTGGAGTTTTAACTGCACGCATGCTATTAATGTAGAGATAATCAATGATTTTTCATGGAATGAATGAGCATATTTAGTTAACTAAAAATCTCGTTTTTTTTTCATATTAAAGAGTGCCATTAGCACTATCAGTTCGATAAAGTTGAAGATTTGGAGCCGTTTTTAAGAAAATGCGGAATTTTGAGCTAATTTCACAGAAACCATTTGAGTTCGCTTCATTCGCTCCGTCCACTCTGCCTGCTTCGTCCGCATTGTTCGTCCCGGCTACTCCATGCTTAATCCAGGCCTGTTTGAGGTGATACGAAGTAATATTGTATATAGCCAAAATGAAAATGAGATTATTAATGCACGATTAGACAGTTCTAGGATGAAACACTGAAATATGAATTTGAAGCTCTTCAAATGTATCTCGTGTAATATTATAAATATAATCAATGACCGTTGGTTTCCTGCACTGCAAAATGCAAGACTAAACGAATGTTTTTATATAAATACTGTAAAAAATGAAGAAAATTAAATTAAAATGTCTAAATTAAGAAATAAGAAAAGAAAATTTATTGAAATTAATATTTTAAAAACATGGTAATATATTAAATAATATATGGTTCTGGAAAGTAAATATATTTAATTCACTAGTGCAAATTAGAATCCGCAGTTTTCGTTTCCTCGCCTTTTATCTCGTTTTTCGTCATATTAAAGAGTGCCATTAGCACTATCAGTTCGAAAAATTTGAAGAAAATGGCGTAAAGTTCATTTTGGGGTATTTCTTTTGTTTTTTCGAAAATTAAACAAATGTAATTTTTTGGAGAGATCTTTCTCGCCGTTTATAGGCACATTTCCAGTTATTTGCAAACACTACTGTATTTATGAGTTAAAGTGTTTCAAATGTCTTCTATTGGAATTTTTCGAATGAAAAATTTTCTGTGGAAAATAACTTCAAATTTTGAATTTACAATAGCGCTAAGGCGCCATTTTCTTAAAAATGACGCCAATTTTTTCCAAGGAAATTGCCATTTAGGAGGGCGTTATACTACTGTTTGAAATTCTTAAAGTAATAAAATATTCAATACAAATTACTACAGAAAAAGGAAAGTAATATGGGAAAGTCTGTGCCATCCTGAAGCACCACTAGATCTTTTTTGAGGTGTGTAGTCTTCTGCACGTTCGCGATCGCTTTGGAAATGTTGACTCTGACAACTGGTGATTCTATCTTTTGATTTCTCTCTCCTTGTCAGACACGTCTTTCGTCTTTTCGAAGTTGTCCCTGAACGTTGCCTTTCTCGTTCAAAAGTGTTTTTTTTTATTCCTTGCGCGTAGAACATATCTCAAACCTCTGCGAAGTACCACACATATTCAAAATTTTACAGAATTACCTGAAGGGAGACAAATCTAATACACTCACGAACAAGGAAATCATACCAGAAACTATATTTACATTTATTTCGGTACATTCGTTTTTATTCTTAGCTTTACCAAGACGGTGAATCGTAGGTTGAACTTATAAAGTGGAGGTTTTCAGTGCAAGGGTGGGACAATTAATGTTATACAATTTTAATAGCAATATATTTATTATAAATATTTTACAATATTTTGAAATTAGAATTTAATACAGATCCTAGAGGAATTATATCATTTTAACAGATAAGTATGAAGTTATGAATTCGGTATAAATCATATTCTACCTTTGCCTACTTTTAGCCTTTTCATGTATCTCCTATATTTGGTTAAGTTGCCGACCTGTGGCAGAAACTAACTATTTTAGTACCCAAACATCACGCTCCGTCACAGGTGGTAATTTACTGTCCATCCCCGAAACATAAATAACTATTACAAAAATATTTTTTATGTTTTACTGATACATTTTGCTTGTTATTGCCTCGAATGAAATGTTTGTCGTTATCAGGAAAAAATGAAAACAGTTGCAACATACTACGTATTTTCTTACAAAGAAAATTATGAAAAGGCAGGGTGACCAGTGATCAGGCTTTTGCGAATTCAAGGCTTTTTCCCGATTTTTCAGGCCTGAGAATATAAATATTCCACGTTTTGTTTCGCTCACTACAACACATTTTTTTCTGTTTATTACGTACTAGAGTGTAGAGTTTTCACAGAATGAGCTTTAAAGAAATCTAGGATTTTTTTGGTTTTGTTTTTATAGGAAGCATATGTTGCTAATTAATCTTCAGAGTCCTGAAATGCTTAAGAAGTATTTTTTCTGCCGGAAAATTGACCTCGAAGCTAATGCCAAGACATGGTTTGAAGTACCGAATTCGGTTTCGGAAAATATCGGTCCTACCGTGAATAACAGTTTTCTCACATGGTCTTCAATGGAAGGAAATTTTTATTTTTTTCAAAATGGATATTTTATCGATACTAAACCTACTACTCGGTTCTCTCAAATTTGAAGTATTACATGACATACCTGAAAATTGCGCTTAATAACACTAAACTTTTCATTTTTAATATTACTTTTGAATTTTCGGAATGAATGAATCTTCATATTTGCTTCAAACATCGTAATACCTCAATTTTTGGAAATTTGAAGATTACATAATCGATTTTGCTCCATAACAATTTTAAAAACTTGTTCAGTAATAGTATTTAGATCATAATAGTTATCTCACCGATTTAAATTGTTAGATTTTTTTTTTTGAAACACTGATTTTGTTTTTTATGGTCAACACAGCTTCAATGGATAGATAATATTTAATCATCTGATTTCATCTCTGTTTTAATTATGATGTTTGATTATTAGAATATTTAAATGTTTTAGAACTTTCCAACTAGTCTTGCATAATATTAAAATAGGGCTGTATACAAAAATTTAATGAATCTACAGATATAGGCTCTGGCTGTAATATCTAATGAAGACAATGGCCGTTTTAGCAGTTTCTTCTTTTGTTAATTGTAAGCATTAACTTAGTAACGTGTGACAACAACCGAGAAAAAATCTATACTGCTTTTTCATATGACCACAAGACGCACGTTTAACGTTATATTTACGTTTCACCAAGGTGATTTCGCTTGACGATTATCAAAATAGTCTAAATTTTGACCGACCAATACACCCTGCCATCGACGACTCGTTAAACTCTTGTTGTGAGGTAAAAGTGAATCAGACGTATGCCCTGAATTTAGTTAACTTAATTTTATTATTTTGCTGTTAAAGTGGCGCGTGTGTGATATACACGTACGTTCCCTTGGTCCCTCAAATACTTACCCTCACTGCTCTACTAACAGTTGAATTATGAATAAATGATGGCATCGAATATTCTTAACACACTCTGATAACCAAAAATATTTGCTCCCGTA